TGCTTGCCAAAGCAAGCACTTTGTCTGCTGAACCATCTCACCAGCCCTAGAATTGCTAAAATTTGTTAACATCAGATATAAAATGTAAAATAACTAGTAATATATAACAAAACAAGATATAGTGCTACAAGAGCTTAGCTAAACATTCAACAAGTGTTAACTACTATTCACATTTATTGTCTGTCCTTATGATATTCTTACTACAGAAAGAAAACAATATTTCCACAAAGCAATATTTTTAACAAGACACTAAAGTAATAAGATGGTAAGAGTATTAGAAGAAATACTACAAAATAACTGTGTCTAGCACTCTACACAATGGTTGTCATTTAAGGGCTCCCCAAGGCCTTGCACAAAAGGGTAGCTACCAGTGATAAAAACTAATGTCAATGCTATCTTTATGCAATACTTGAACTGTCCCTTGAGCAGTCAGTCCCTGGTGGTGCTGGCGTGGCATGTGGTGCCGGGGTTTGAACTGTGGTCCCCTGCACCTGCCTAAGCTTGCCTAAGCAGGCACTTTAGACTGGTGAGCTATCTTCCTGTACCCCAATACTGGTATTTTAAAAGAGCTGGTGACTATGTTTTTGATAGGTACTCTTCACTGTCAACTGGACTGCCACGTCCAGCCATGGGCATTAAGTGGAACCGGCCCAGGAGAGAAGCCATAAAGGCTTCAGCCAGCAAGAGCACAGGGTGGGGCTGCCCTTTGCAGCTCATATCATGCTGTGCCATGACCCAGAGGCTGGACACAGTGACAAGATTTGATGTTTGCCGCTCAGGATTTGATGTTTGCTGAGTTTCCATCTTGTTTTAGTTTGATTCCTTCCTTGCAGAATGGGAATTCTTACATAGGCAAGCACAGTGTATCTTGGTGTTATGTAACTGCTTATCATTCTATTTATTTATGCTTTATTGGTTTAATTTTTTAAACACTAAGTCTGAGCTCCTCAAGTCTCATAAGAAGTTTTGGACTTGGATTTTTGAGTACTGCTGGGACTGTTCAGACTTTGAGAAAGTGATTACTGTGTTTTCAGTTGTATGTGACATGGTTATGTATCTTGTGTTAAGTGGAATTCTGATCTTGTTTTTGTCGCTATTTGGAGACTGCAAATTGAGGAGATATTTTTGGGTTTCAAGTTGAAAACAAGTGATGGTTTATCTTGATTAGCACATAGTTTGGTTTGTGAAACACCCCAGCAGTTAATAAAGCACAGTTCTTTTTTTTTTCAAAGTTTTATTGATAAACAGATAGCAATGAGACAGTTTCAAATCAAATCGGAAGGACAGTTTCAACAAATAATACACTGCATATATTCTTCTTAGTGGTTAACTGCTGTACAAGATGCGGACTTGAGATCCTATTTACAAACACCATTAGAACAAATCATTCTATTCATTAAGAGAATGCAACTATATATCTATCCCAACCTCTTTGAATACATAGATACAAAATGGACATTCATCGGTATACCCCATTTTTTCTAAGTTCCGTTATTGAATATTATAGGTGTGTAAACTCAGCAAAATATTCTAAAAGAGTCCAGTAGCCCATAATAGCATTGGGTCTTCTGTTTAACTGGCAATGTCAGAAATTATTGACCTGAGTCCCCCACAGCTCAACTTAACAGCATGGCTTTATTTCTTATATTTTGACTTCATACTTTTCTACTGGATGGTTAAGACCAAGGTAAAGCAGGACCTATACAACAAGAGTTGTAGCTTTTGGGTCTGAGAAGGTCAGTGAAATGCCCTCAGGATTTGTCCTGAGATCCTATACCTCAGATTGTAGAACCTTTGTCAGTGTCAGCCATGTGGATGAGTCACGGCCATTGCTTGGCCAATAATAAAGCACAGTTCTGAGGCCATCCACACGCATTATGAGGTCGCGACCGCGGGGTGTAACTTGTGCCTTGCTCTTTCTGTTTTAGCTCTATGTGCTCCACGTTCCGGCTGCTGGGAAGTTAGAAGCAATCCTCTGTTTTAGGTTTTTCTTCATGCTTTTCCATACCTATTGTACAGCAAACTTACTACTCAAAACTCAGTTCAAATGCTGCCATTGCTGTGGAGCTATTGTTCTCTGAAATAGAGTTAGCACTGTATTCTGTTATTAAAGCAGTAATCCTGTCCTTTTAAAGGATTTTTTTATTGTCATAAAAATCACATGATATAAATCTACCTTCATTTAACTGTCAAGTATATGCTGTAGTTTTGTTGACAATAAGCAAATGTTGTGAAATTGAACTTTAGAAATTCTTCAAAGTTCATAGGTTGTGTGAGAATCAAGTAATCTGAGTCATTGGAATGATAGGTCTGGAGGTGTCTGTGTTGACTCAGATCATTTATCAAATAAGTTCCCGTAAAGGACAATGACATCTTTCCTACTACCTGTAATAATTTATGGCTATTTTATCAGCATACAATATTCTTTTGTGACTTCATTGTAAAAATTCTGTACACTATAGCCTATTTAGCACCTCTTCTGGGAAGTCTGAAGAAAATAAAAATTGTGATTCAAAAAAAAAGAAGCAATCCTCTGCCCGACCCTGCCCCACGTTCCTCCTGCAGGGCCAGCTGACAACAAACTAAAGCTTCTGAAACTATTAGACAAAATAAGCCCTTGATCCTTTGAATTGTATCTGTCAGGGGTTTTGTCCCAACAACTGAAAGCTTACCTATACAATTTTCACATACTGCACAGAATTCTAATTCTTAGTTAAAACGTTTAATATCAACTTTTCATTATTCAAAAATTCTGTTTCATTAGAATTCCATCGTGAATGTGATTTGCTAAATGAGCTTGCTGAGTTAAATGTGCATGAAAAAGTGTGCAGCTCTTTGACATCCACAACACGAGCGTGTTAAACTGCTATGCAATGCTAGATGAGGCTCTTGGCATGTGTGTGTCCCACTGGGGTAGTATTTTACCGTGACACATCCACTGCTTTTTGAGTATGTCATTGGAAACAATATGAAAAATATGTATCATTACTCCACAATACTTTTTTTTAAAGTGTCGCAAGGGAGATCCTCCTCTATCACAAATATCTTCATATAACAAAGATTTGGTTAAACAGCAATAAATATGTTATGTCATTCTCCATTTCCTTTTATTTCTTCTCTATCTTTTTCCTGGAAAACTGGAGTAAAATAAGATAATTATGATATAGGAACTTGTTAGCACACTACACACACACACACACACACACACACACACAGACAAAACTGCAAACTAATCCTATTTTATAGAAAGCGTTTTATTGTTAAAATTACATTTTTATAATGCCTACCTTTGAATACATA